ATAGGGGTCCCCTTGGACCCACTTGCCGCAGCTCTGACTCTGGTAACAGATGCCTCTTTCCAAGGTCAGGGAGCGCATCTATTGGACGAACAAGCCCAAGGAGTATGGCCCCCGCATTGGGTTTGGGACTCCCATATCAACTGGCTCGAGCTGAAAGCAGTGCACTTAGCTATACTACGCTTTCTACCCATGGTCTCCTACATCAACAAAGAGGGGGGACGCGTTTCCCATCATTGTCAGTCCTAGCATAGCAAATTCTCCTTTGGTGCCTGGAATACAACATGGAGCTAACCAGGGACCCTGCGCATAGGCAATAAGTCAATCTCAGCATTTTTGCGGACAGATTCCTCTACCGGCAGCACTCCTTGGAAGTTTCCAGGTCTTGCTTTTCGACCTATGTCCTCATGCAGAACTGTTTCGGTCTTCACTTCGAAAGCATACTACCCCCTGAATTGAGTTTGGGTCTAGCTTTCTTGGGCACACTGAACCCTGTCACCATGGCATCATTTTTGACTTTTTGCTCCGAGGGCAGCACAGGCATGGTAAGACACCACCCTTTTTGGGGTCTTAGCTAAGTGATGAGTGGTATTTGTAGAATGTATCATCCCGGACTGGGAAAAAAAACTTTCATATTTTCTGTTTGCTCGGAAAATGTGCCATCTTTCACCGTCTGACGCCTACAGTTCAAAATAGTCATTTTGACTGACCGGAGTCTATGGTGGGTAATTGAACGTAGTGAATTTAGGCAGAGGGTTCTCCGAACCTGCCTATTAACATAGTTCATACCCACCATGGACCCCCCCCCCCCCCAACCACCCCACTCTTTCCGTAGCGTTGGTCTAGTCCTCGGTGCGGAGATAAAGGAATCAGTGTGAAGGTCACATGGTTTGTGACGTAAGGGAAAAAAAATCTTGGGGTCATGGGGCTTCTCCTGACCTAGATTTTATCTCTCCGTCATTGGCAGAATCGCTGATTAATGCCTACAGTTCAAAATAGTCATTTTGACTGACCGGAGTCCATGGTGGGTATGAACTATGTGAATAGGCGGGTTTGGAGATCCCTCTGCCTAAGTTTCATTGTTGTCCTCTCTGATTTAAACCTTTTTCTTGTGGTTACAATAACTCAAACAGCTTTTTTTTTTTTTTTATTTTAGGATATATATTAATTAATATCAATATATTGGTAAAATTTCACCTAAAACTAAGTTGAATTTTGTATATATTTAATACCAAACAATTGTCATGACTCCATAATAATGGTTATAAAGTCTAGATGATCGTCTGTGAGTGATGTTTTGTTCCTTGCATTGTCTCTCACCAGTGTTTACTCTAAATAAGAATCAAAGAAATCTTAGAAAGAGCTTCCCTTGTGCTGAGAATTGATTTAAAAATAGAGAATAATTAAAATTAGTTCAAAATTTAGAAAGCCTGAATAACTAATTATTATGCAAATAAGGTAATTAATATGTACAAATTTTAACACCAAAATAATCAGTCTCATTGAAAAATTGTCCAATTATGCGGTTGATTATGCACATATTTCAATAGTATTAATTCAGGAACAAGAATGATAATTGATTATTTTGCTTAAATGTGACCTTAATTTTCTTGTTAATTTATATTAATAATTGTTGTATTGGTTCAGAAATGTTATTCTAAATTTTTTCCACGCAAAGATTACAACATGTGCATCATTCCATTCTAAATTCTTATTTGTCATTTACTGTCTAGATTCTCAACAGGCAAGGTTGTTTATTATTTATTTTATGTTACTAGAGGGCAGTATACAGTTTTTTTTTTTTATCCAGGTGTGTCCTACAGGCGTGGCTGATAGAGTGAATCTGGGCCTAATTCCAAGTTCAGAAGAAGGATGGCCCACAGCTTGCAAAGCACTGAAAGCATCCACAGGAGGGTTTCTGCATATCCATGGAAATGTGACATGTGGAATTCAGGAGGGATCCAGCAGACAATCAAAAGATTCAGAGAATGGAGACCTAGATACAACAAGCAGTACAACAGAGGTGGATTTTAAAAGTAACGATTGTGTGAAAGAAGAATCACTACCAACATCATACTCAAATACCAAGCTGACATTGTCCAAAGAGTGGCGACTGTGGGCGGAGGCAGTATCAAGGAGAATAGAGCAGCTGTTAATTGATATTCACAATAACAAATGGACGACGTGTATTCTTCATATTGAGCATGTGAAATCATATGCACCACATATTGATCATCTAGTTTTGGATTTGGAATGTAGACCAAGGAAGTAAACTATTATTGATAATGCTATAGTGTACAGAGCCAAGTCATCTGAATGTATACTATGTTTGTTTTTAATGCAGTTTCAGTTTAAATAAAGGAAAAAAAGTGTTTTGTCCAGAGCTTGATATCATTCAAAGTCAACACAAAAACCATAGAAGAGAACTTCACATCTATTATTTTTACCATTATGTGTGTAAGAACCATAGTCTTGCATATTGGTTTACAGGTTTACTGGTTCCTGATGCACGTCATTTTATTTTTTCAGATCGGATTCAAAATGCCATTTTGTTTTAATGAATGGGCTTCTGGACCCATATCTCTGACATGCTTTGACTGATTATGTATACATCATGTCATAGATATACAGATATATTGGTTTGACGATTCTATTCAAAATGGTGGCCATTTTTGTGCTAAAAAATCATCAAATATCAAGCATTTATGGATGGATTTTGTTCAAACTTGGTACATACATTAGACAGTACGGGTTCCTGATGCACGTCATTTTATTTTTCAGATCGGATTCAAAATGGCTGACTGGCAGATATTTTGTTTTAATGAATGGGCTTTTAGACCCATATCTGACATGCTTTGATTGATTTTGTTTTAATTAATGCTGTTCCAGAGCAATATCTCCCAGTATGGACAAGTACTTGTTTGATCATTTTAATGTTAAACAATCATCATATTCCTGACATGGTTATATTCCAGCTATAAATAAACTATATATCTTAAATTTGATAACAGGGACTGTGTATGGCTTGTTTTTATTATTTAACAAAAATATGGTAGGCAGGACTTGGGGCTATTTTGTTATTGCTTTCCTGCATTCACCAATTTGATCTGATTAACAGCAGTATTTCTTAGAGACTTGTATATGCAATTTGTTGCTGTAATATTGTCACTATAGTTCCTAAAATCAAGGAGACCACAATTAATTATTTGATATTCTTTATTACCTTCATTACATACAATCTTGCTTTTGTTCTGTACATTTATTCTAGCATATATATATATTTCTCATTATTTGTATCCATGTGACAACATAATTGGTATTCTGCCAGTGCTTTAAAAACATCCCTTGAACACCATAATTGTTTTCCTGCTGTGTATATATTTTTCAATAATTTTGACCCAAATGGACACAGATTTATATTTTGTGTGCTTTGCATACCAAGGATTAATGTTTTCATGTTTAGCACCAGAACAATCCATAAATTTCTGCATAGTGCAGACTCCAAAATTGTTGTCCCATGTAATGTCTTCTCAATAAACTTGCATGGAAGTATTATGCAAAATACTTGATACAAGGATGGATCTTAAAGGCTAGAATCTGAAACAGGAGGGGGGGGGGGTCAATGCTCAGATTAATAATAGAGGGTGCCCTCATGACAAACAAAGTTATATAGTTTTATCTTTTTTTTCTTGAGAACAATTTCAAAATATGTACTCAAAACATTAACATTTTGATGAGGGAATAGAGAGATTTCATCATATTAGTGTTACGGGCACCCTCCCAAGAACACTCACAACCCGGCAAATAATGTACTGAATAAATTAAGTAGATAAAATAACATTAGTATTGAATTTAAAAAGATACTCTATACCAGTTTAATTAAACTGAACTCATATTGTTCAAATATTTGGAAGGAATCACTCACAAAAAATATTGTTAAACAGTGTTTAGTATGTCTGTATGTTTCACAAGTATGTACAGACAGCTTAATTTACATGTCTCTTGCAATGAAGTATAATTCAAACTAGCAGTTTCACCAATGGATTATACCATTTGTGGCAGGGTTACCGGGTACATTCTATAAAATACTATAGCGCAACAATAACAAAAATTAACTTTGCACAACAATGTTTTCTGAATTGTATAGGTTTGCAATATTGTAGAGGGTATGCAAAGTGAAAATCTGATCTTCAATTGAGGGTGTTCTCAATGCATGTAAAGAGAATTATGGAAAACATTAAAACCTTATTAGATATTTATGTTTTTAAACTCCATTTTTGTTTAAATCAAGAGACCAGTATTAATCACTCTGAAACAGGCAGGGTAGCTTGGTAGACGCCAAGGAAACAGGTTACCAAATCCCAATATTTACATAAAATTAAAAAAATGAATTCCTGCAAAAAACAATCATCAATATTTCAGTTTAAATTGGATACCATATTTTTTATATCAAGCCCAATTCATTTAAATATATAGACAGACAAGAAACACATGATTGCAGGTTTGCACTTGAATATATGCAAATTGTATAGCACAGCAGTACAGTGACATGTGAGGACATCCACAGACACATAACTTGCCGACACAGCAAAGTGCATCAGTTGTTAATACAACAAGTTATACAGAGAAACCAAAACAAAGGCAGGGAAAAATGTAACGTGGCAGAGGTAGAAGCTCACAGTTCAATACAAAATTGATGATATTTGTATTATGTGAAATATATTGTCTAATTCCTAAACAATTCTCAGCCTCAGATTGGTTGTGTAACATTAGACAATGTAAAATCTGTATTATTTGAATAAATGAGAACCAAAAATTCATCATATCTCTAATAGAAGTCGCATCCCTTTTGTACAATTGAACCATTCAAATAAAGCAGCAGTTTGTAATACAGAATTTACTTGGTGAGCTGTTGTCATGTACACACTGTGAAGGCACAATGACTGGAAGAATTGGGACAACTAGCACTGTAGTATTCTTTATGTCTCGCATACAGGATTAATTATTAAACATAATTAGTGATTTTGCTGTCTTCACACAAATGGTTGGATATCAGCAGTGATAAGAAATGAACATTATTTGTGAAAAATTTTACTGCTTACACACACATCTAAGATTCAAACACACAACAACTGCATAGTATAATTAGACTGGATCGAATAAAACATGCATGAGACACAAAAGCATCTATAAAGAAAGCAGATAAGAGGGTTTTACAGGGCACCATGTGTATTTCAGTTTTCCACAATATTCTAAACTGAAACATTTAGTATTTTGAAGAGAAGAAAAACTGGCATGGCTTTGTGCCACATTACTCTCAGCTACCCCTAAATTTCAACTCACAAAAAAAAATGAAAAATACAAAGATTTTTAAAAAATACACACAAGTGTAAACAGATTGTACACTTGTCATTAAGGCAACAACTTATGTATTAGAAATAATGAATTCATCCTAGATTGCAGCGTTTCCTTCCAAAATGTCTATGCTATATTTCTTGTCATCAAGTATTTATTTAAAAGTCAAATAGCCATCACTGAGCTTTAAATTTGACTAAATCGACTTATTCGTGACATTCCAAAGATTTCAACATTCTTCAGATTAACGATGAAAAAACCAAACATACGAGTTATCTTGAATGTCTGCTCACTACTTTTAAATTCTTGATGATGTCAGGTGACATCTGCAACAGTTCGAGCTGGTTGAGCTGAAAACGTCTAAATAAGCATCGGTGGAGCAAAGTCTAAATTGATAAGCCTGTAAAGGTGGTTGGGTTGGGTAGACAGTGAAGAGGAGCTGCCATTAGTTACCTGTAAAATGTAGGGGAGACGTTTACAAAGAATAATGGAGTTCAGGAAAGAAACTTAGCTTAGTCTGCTTATGAGAAAGAAAGGAATATCTGTAACAATGATACTATGTGGATTGAAAGCTTGTTACAATCTCCTAACATGATTCACATGCAAAATTAAACAAAATGAACTTAACAAATTTCACTCGGTGATAAATTTACACACTGAAGCCATACACACTTTACACCCAGTTGATAGTAAGGTTCAGAATTCAGAAACATGCAAACATTGTGCTCCATAATGGGCCTGACTAAGCACCTCAAGATTAGTGCTAAATTTTCCATAGTGGAAGATGAAGTGATGGGAGGCACACAAGGTAAGGTAAGTATGGCTTTACTAAGTAAAATGTCAAATTATCACCTAGGTGAATTTGTTAACATTACTACAGTAACTTTAAGCCATACTTACCTTACAGCCAATTGATATTAAGGTATTCATTGAAACTCTTGGTCAGACTACAAAAGCAGGAGGCTGGTAATTTGTCTGGAGCTCTGAATCAACAAGTTTGTCAATCCTAAATCCCCAGTATGAAGAGGGGCACAACCTTACATCACAGCACAACTATTAATAGAAGTTAGGAAAGACGTTTACCACTGTTTTCTGATCCTTGTTTCAACCCAGCTGACTTCTCTGAATGGAAAAGCTAAAGGTTTGAATCTAATCAAATAATATTTGTAATAACTAAAAACTAGTAAAACGGGTTCCTAACACTGAGTACTCTTGTAATTGGGTAACAAGCTTACTTTCACTTGAAATCTAAAAAAAATATAGTCTGGTTGTAAACTATGTCTAGAACTCAGGTCCCATTGGGGGGTTTTAATGCAAAAGAGAGACTCCCAAGTTTTTTTGCTTTTGTCATTCATGCACAGGCCATCAGCACACCAGCTGACCAGCGATCTCAGACTTTTGTTGGTATGACCGCATCTCAAACAATTGAGCCATTTTAAAGTGTCTTTTTGTTCCTAACAGAAACATATTACCCAAGCAGTTGAAACAAATAGTCAAGTCAGTGAAATTGTGCCGAAATATCAATAAAATAAACTCAAAAGTACCAGGATGTTTGACCTTCAGTGTTCATGAAGGTGGTATATCATATATATTAAAATATAGTTGTTTTAATCCCAAACTGAGAGCAAAATCAAATTATTTCCAAATCAAACCCAAAACTAAACCCAAGTGTTCCAATCAATATCTTACTATCTATGGGTGTAAGGTAAGTATGATGAAATAGGAATTTGGGAATTCAGAACAAACATGACTTCATGTACTGACTCCTGTACACAAACTTCACTTCATTTCCCATGAGGCCCTCCTCACAGATGAATTACCAGCTATAATATGCATATGTTGCCAAGACAACTACATTAGTAACACTGAAAGTTCATCTTTTCAGGCTTTGATAAAATACAAATGTACAGTGAAAATATAACTGAAAAAAATTCTAATTAATCCTCAAAACATGTTACTGATCCTCTGTATATAATTTGGGTGCATCTCCTGTATTCAAACCTGTTGTCTCTGTTGCGCCCTCTGTGGCTGTGGGAGGTGGGGGCATAGCCAAGGCTGTTGGTTGGCTAGTGATTGGTGAATCTGCTTGCTCAGATGATGGTGAGGTGTCTTCTAAATCTTCTGGTTTTAGCGTCACATCTTCCTCTTCTGGGTCATAAGCTTTCATTTTACCACAGCAGAAACAGCAGCAACAGAAGCAGCAACAGCAGAAATAACAGCACGTCAATATGCCACATGTGATGAACAAGCACTGTTAGGGAAAGATACAGAAAAATTAGCGTGTCATGTCATGTCATAGCCCCCGCTCAGAAAACAATTTAAAACTGATATTGAACTGGGTTTGTGTCAGAGTGAATTTATCCATTATGAGCTGTATTAAAGTTCCGTTATTAATTGTTCAGAATTGATGTGGAAAATTTTAGGGGGGATGGGGTAAAAAAATATAAATTGACTCAGAAAAGCCAAATAAATAACTTGATCAACATCTAACGCGATGTGCACAATTATTACCTGTCTCTGTATCAATTTTGAACAGAATTGGATCATGACATATGTTTAAGAAAAAGCTGGTAACAGCTAGAAAAATCTTTTTTTTTAGATTTTTGAGGACTTAAATGACCGCCAAGCAGTAAAAATTTATTCAATCAAAAAATAACTTGATGTGCACTTATAAACCCTTATTACCTGTCTGTGTACCAACTTTGAACTGAATTGCATGACACATGTCTGAAAAAAACTGGTAATGACTAGAAAACATTTTTTTATAGATTTTTAGAGCCAAAAATGGCCACGAACCACTCATAATTTATTCAATCAAAAAATAACTTGATGTGCACCTGTACACCATCAATAACTGTCTCTGTACCAACTCTGAACTGAATTGGATGACACATGTGTGAGAAAAACCTGGTAACAACTAGAAAAAAAATTTTTGATAGATTTTTGGAGACAAAAATGGCCGCCAACCACTCAAAATATATTCAATCAAAAAATAACTTGATGTGCACCTGTACACCATCAATTCCTGTCTCTGTACCAACTCTGAACTGAATTGGATCACACATGTGTGAGAAAAACCTGGTAACGCATATACGAACACAAGACTCAATTTATAAGCCCCCTCCGGATCCCAGATCCGGTGGGGACTAAAAACAACAACAATAATGCCCTCTAGTGGTATAAAGAATATGGCATGTAATGATACATAATGCTGTCTTGTGATATAATGCCCTCATTATCATTATTGGCGAACCGCTCCGCTAAGATTGCCCTTATAATCACTTTTGTGGGTTTGTGTGATTTCCATTGTTTTCATTATTTCTTCTGTGATTTTTTTGGCTTGGCTGATTCACTCAAACTTGGCAAGTAGGTCACACCTTCACTCTAGTTATTAGGAAAAATCTTGAAAAAATATCTGGCCCATCGTTGCCAAAAAACTGTGTTTTGGGTAGCTCCGTGCCAAATGTATCTACTCCTACAAATTTGGGATAAACACCTCTGACATAGCTCAATCTACTCAGCTTGAGTGTGGGCACAAAGTTACTATTTGAATTTTTGATATCTTTTTTCATTACCGAGAAATTTGATTCCAAAGTTGGGGTAACTGTTCACCAAGAATGGCTTTTTAACTCTTCTGTGATTTTTTGGGCTGAGCCGATTTGGTTCAAACTTGGCAGGCAAGTCACACCTTCATTCCAGTTAGGTTATAAAATCTGAAAACAAATTCTGGCCAACCGTTTCTATAGCAACTGCCAAGAAAATGATTTTTTTAATACATTCGCGCCAAATGTATCTCACCCTACATTTCTATGATTAAAAAGTACGAACATAGCTCATTCTTTTCAGCTTGAGTGTGGGCATAAATTTACTGGGTTTTTTTATGTCTATTTTCATTACAGAGAAAATTTGAGTCAATTTGAGCCTGATTTTTTTTGGCCTGGTTGATTTTGTCCATACTTGACAGGCAGGTCGTACTGTCACTAATTGAAAAAAAAATTGGTCCACCGCTGCCATGGCAACAACCAAAAACTGATTTTTGAATACTTTTGCCCCAAATTTATGACCTCCTACCAGTCTTGTAATAGCAGTGTTCAAATGGTCATGCTTTTTATTTTGGCTACAGTGCGCACTGGTAAGAGATCACCAGCACCGACATTGTTACATTGTATCAACGCAAATTTGAATGTACTGTAAATGCTGTCTTCAATCTAGAAAATACTATCGCAAAATGGTTGGAAATAATAAATTTAACAACAGAATATGTCCTAACAATAAAATAAAGTAACTTCTAAAGACTGAATATTTTTGTTTGCGAACTTCGTATACGTGATTCGATTTAAGTTATAAACTGACGTTATCTTCACGTTCATGTCCTACCACGACAACAGACGAAAACATGTTGCTTGCTTTTTGAGCGGAGCGGATTGCCAACCAGCCTACTGGCTTGTTTGAATTATTTTCCTATTTTTACATGGAAATAAAAACAGCCCATTCCATCAGTAATCGATGAGTTGACACAAAGTAGAATGCTGAACACAGTGCCACAGGACAAACCCTGAGTTAACCGCATATATTATAAATAAAACAATCATTTATAATTAATGATCTCATGTAATTGCATTAAATACCTTAAATATAGGACTATGAACCATAAAGTAAGCTTTGACATTTTCTTCCCCAATCTGTTCAGCTACATATAATCCCATCGAACCATATTCATCATAAATCTCTCGTTTTGTGTCGTCGCTTAAAACTGTGTTAGCATGGTTGATTTCCTTAAACTGAAAAAATACACACAATATATTTAGCTATGTGACTATCAATTAGACTCTGCATATGAATACAACTGTAGCAATTACACTCTGCATATGAATAAAACTGAGGCAATTACACTCTGCATATGAATACAACTGTAGCAATTACACTCTGCATATGAATACAACTAGCAATTACACTCTGCATATGAATACAACTGCAGCAATTACACTGCATATGAATACAACTAGCAATTACACTCTGCATATGAATACAACTGAGGCAATTACACTCTGCATATGAATACAACTGAGGCAATTACACTCTGCATATGAATACAACTGAGGCAATTACACTCTGCATATGAATACAACCGAGGCAATTACACTCTGCATATGAATACAACTGAGGCAATTACACTCTGCATATGAATTCAACTGAGGCAATTACACTCTGCATATGAATACAACTGTAGCAATTACACTCTGCATATGAATACAACTGAAGCAATTACACTCTGCATAGGAACACAACTGTAGCAATTACACTCTGCATATGAATACAACTGTAGAAATTACACTGCATATGAATACAACTGTGACAATTACACTCTGCATATGAAAACAACCATATCAATTACACTCTGCATATGAATACAACTGTAGCAATTAGACTCTGCATATGAATACAACTGAAGTAATTACACTGCATATGAATACAACTGAGGCAATTACACTCTTCATATGAATACAACTGTAGCAATTACACTCTGCATATGAATGCAACTGTAGCAATTACACTGCGTATGAATGCAACTGCAGCAATTACACTCTGCATATGAATACAACTGTAGCAATTACACTCTGCATATGAATACAACCATACCAATTACACTCTACATAAATACAACTAGCAATTACACTCTGCATATGAATACAACTGAAGCAATTACACTCTGCATATGAATACAACTATAGCAATTACACTCTGCATATGAATACAACCATATCAATTACACTCTGCATATGAATACAACTGAAGCAATTAGACTGCATATGAATACAACTGAAGCAATTACACTCTGCATAGGAACACAACTGTAGCAATTACACTCTGCATATGAATACAACTATAGCAATTACACTCTGCATATGAATACAACCATATCAATTACACTCTGCATATGAATACAACTGTAGCAATTAGACTCTACATATGAATACAACTGAAGCAATTACACTCTGCATATGAATACAACTGTAGCAATTACACTCTGCATATGAATACAACCATATCAATTACACTCGGTATATGAATACAACCATATCAATTACGCTCTGCATATGAATACAACTGTAGCAATTACACTCTGCATATGAATACAACTGTAGCAATTACACTCTGCATATGAATACAACCATATCAATTACACTTGGTATATGAATACAACTGTAGCAATTACACTCTGCACATGAATACAACCATATCAATTACACTGCATATGAATACAACTGTAGCAATTACACTCTGCATATGAATACAACCATATCAATTACACTGCATATGAATACAACTGTAGCAATTACACTCTGCATATGAATATAACCATATCAATTACACTCTGCATATGAATACAACTGTAGCAATTACACTCTGCATATGAATACAACCATATCAATTACACTCTGCATATGAATACAACTGTAGCATTTACACTCTGCATATGAATACAACCACACCAATTACACTCTGCATGAATACAACTAGCAATTACACTCTGCATATGAATACAACCACACCAATTACACTCTGCATATGAATACAACTGTAGCAATTACACTGCATATGAATACAACCATACCAATTACACTCTGCATGAATACAACTGAAGCAATTACACTCTGCATATGAATACAACTGAAGCAATTACAACTCTGCATATGAATACAACTGTAGCAATTACACTCTGCATATGAATACAACCATATCAATTACACTCTGCATGAATACAACTGTAGCAATTACAACTCTGCATATGAATACAACTGTAGCAATTACACTCTGCATATGAATGCAACCATATCAATTACACTCTGCATGAATACAACTGTAGCAATTACAACTCTGCATATGAATACAACTGTAGCAATTACAACTCTGCATATGAATACAACTGAAGCAATTACAACTCTGCATATGAATACAACTGTAGCAATTACACTCTGCATATGAATACAACCATATCAATTACACTCTGCATGAATACAACTGTAGCAATTACAACTCTGCATATGAATACAACTGTAGCAATTACAACTCTGCATATGAATACAACTGTAGCAATTACAACTCTGCATATGAATACAACTGTAGCAATTACAACTCTGCATATGAATACAACTGTAGCAATTACACTCTGCATATGAATACAACCATATCAATTACACTCTGCATGAATACAACTGTAGCAATTACAACTCTGCATATGAATACAACTGTAGCAATTACAACTCTGCATATGAATACAACTGTAGCAATTACACTCTGCATATGAATACAACTGAGGCAATTACACTCTGCATATGAATACAACTGTAGCAATTACAACTCTGCATATGAATACAACTGTAGCAATTACACTCTGCATATGAATACAACTGTAGCAATTACAACTCTGCATATGAATACAACTGTAGCAATTACACTCTGCATATGAATACAACCATATCAATTACACTCTGCATGAATACAACTGTAGCAATTACAACTCTGCATATGAATACAACTGTAGCAATTACAACTCTGCATATGAATACAACTGTAGCAATTACACTCTGCATATGAATACAACTGTAGCAATTAGACTGCATATGAATACAACTATAGCAATTACACTTTGTTGGTGTAGTATACTTACCTTTTCTGTAGCATCAGGATTGTCTATATTTTTATCTGGATGCCATTTCAATGCAAGCTGCAAAATAAATAGCACAACAATTTTGATTGTTATGACACAAAACAGTCTGTAAGTAGAGAAAGTAAAAACAAATAATTGTCTGATTATGATAACCCAAGTTAGTTTTTTGAGCAGTTGACCCTGAACATTTTAGTATTTGATTTCTAACCATGATTGAGAGAAACCAACAATAAACTTATATGATCCATTAATAATGACACCTATAAACCAAGGAGTATATTCAATACATGTAGAAGACATAACATGTCACAGACCCCATACAAGATATAGTGAAATTATATTCATGTTATGCATTCACCTTGGTAGTAATCATACTGCAAGAGAGTAAATACATAGGCGGAAGTTACATGTAAACAGTGATGTAAATGCATTTTTAATAATTAAAATGTTGCTCATGTTTAACAGCAAAATATTATGTTCTGTGTGATCTTAAATTAATAAAGGTGTGTTCTGAGAAATAAACTGGTACGTGTACATAAAATATGATATGTTCGTATGATTTAAGAAAAGATCATTTGTGGGGTTATCAGTTTACTGACATAATCCATACTGCTTAAAGTTCTTTCATTAGAATCATAGAAATCAATGATTAAGTCACCAATTTGTGACAGTTATGAATGCCATTACAGTTATAAAGTAACAGACACAAGTTTATTACCATGGTCTGTCAAAAAACAGTACCTAAAACAGCATGAACCAGCATAAAATAACAGTAGAATATATGTATTCCAATAAAATTTGCAAAATATAAAATCAGTCAAAGTATGTCAATGATATGGCACTAGCACCACATGGTCATTCATTAAAACAAAATGGCTGTTAGTTGGTAATTTTTAGTCTGATCTGAAAAACAAAATGATGTGCTTCAGGAACCCACAATGTCTGATGTATGTACCAAGTTTGAATGAATTCCATCCATACACAACAGAGATCCAGTTCCAGAATGCTAGAAATGCTTCATTTTTGCTGATTTTGTGGCACAAAAATGGCCACCATTCGACCATTTTGAATTGGATCGTCAAACCAATATATCTGTACATCTATGACATGATGTATAATGAATATATAAAATTTGAACATAATCAGTCAAACCATGCCAAGATATGGCACTAGAACCACATTCATCAAAACAAAATGTCCGTCGGCCATTTTGAATTTTATCTGAAAATCAAAATGACGTGCATCAAGGTCCCATAATGTCTAATTATATACCAAGTTTGAACAAAATCTATCTGTAAACAGCCGAGAGATGCTTGATTTTGATGATTTTTCAGTACAAAATGGCTCCTATTCGGCCATCTTGAATCAGATCGTGAAAAAAATTGATGTACATGTATAATAAATATTATGTAATATTTGAATTTAATTGGTCCAGGCATGTCTGAGTGTCTGAGTGAACATACAGACGCACAGAGGTCAAACCATAAGTCCTCGTTTTCCAACGGGGACTAATAAACAGCTTTTAATAATTAAAACTATCATTTGTAGGAAGTGACTGAATATAAACACCCACACACTTTACACACCCACACAAATTATATGCGTCTACATACGTCAATAGATACCAGTAAGTTTATCCCACACAATGTGACGTGTCACGCAACAACAAAAAACAAACATTCTATTAAGTGACACTCTCTTCGTTACTTATAAGGGTTGTTTGAAAAGTTCTGGGCTTGACTGCGAAAGGGATACGTGATAAAGGTCATGTTTGTTTAGCGATCACCTGTAAATATATTTATGTATAATATGGGTGATTCTCAAAAAACATTTATTTCATGATCAAATGTTTGATTGAAATTAAAGTTCAAACACAAATTTAATTTTTTTTAACGTGCACAACATTATCAAAAACCCCAAAACAAAAATAATAATATATCAAATAATGAAAATAACCTTTGATGTGTTATTAGAATCGATATGAAAATTTTCATAAATTATGAAAATGAGAAAATTACAAGGTTACATACACGTATGACTAAATAGACCAGTATCTATTATATATACATTTTGTAATCCTACGATATTTTCTCTTTGCTTGACGTCAAGTGATTACCACCAGAGTTTTGTATCAATCCGAGCTGCAGGCTACTCAGAAGGTAATCATGAGTGTCTGTTGATGTCAAATTAAGAGAAAATATCCTGGGATAATATAGTTTTACCACATGCATATTTCCACAGTATGACAGTGAAATGACATGTGTTGACAGTGAAACTATTGCTGAAATAACAATACAAATACAGTGTATATACATGTACTCTTGATATTATTATTGACAACACAGTGTTCTATTTTAAGCCCTGTGTACACTGTATGGGGATTCTGCATATTTGTAATATTTATCAAATTCGATAAGATATTAAAATTTCAAACGATTTTTTGTGGTGATACGCAATTTATACATGTGATAAAAAAAATAAACATTTATTTGTGTAATTATGAACTTGACATTTAAAAAGGTTCGAATCAAATTAAAAATGTCATTTCTTCATATAGGCCATTGAGCCACACTAAAAATGAGGAAAATAAATTCAGAAAGACCATTGAAAAGAACAATATTTTATCAATATTGTTTCAATGGTTTTTTTTCACTAAACTCTTTAATATTCAGGGTATTGATAGTATGAAAAGATCTGGTACATATATATCCTATGATCTGTGATGAATCAAGTGTACATGTGGTTCTTGAATATTTCAGTGTTTTGTAACACCACAGGCACATGCTCTATCGATATTACAAATAGAAATTTTAGCAGTCACATGACTATTTGGGCATAGTGTAATAGCTGAATAATTTTCTAAATCTTTGAAAATCTTCTTCTTAAGAACCACTCATCATATGAGCTGAAATTTCCTGTATAGCATATGTGCATGCATCAAAATGATCTCAGCAATTTTTATTGGTCACATAGTTCCTGCTCTTACTTCCTTCTGTTTAATCAGTCTGAAATTTTAGCAAAATATAACCTTGCTATGGTGAATTTATTGAAAACAGTTTTGCATATTTCATTCACCACTAATTTTAGAATTTTAGTGATCAAAATCCCATGGCCCATATATCCAAAATTTCATCTGAAAAAAGATTTTTGAAAAAACGGCAATATGGTTTATGGCAATACATCATAAAATGCAAAAAGAAAATCACCAATCAAAATTTACTTGGCCATCAAAAATAATTGTGGTGATGGGGTGAAGATTGTGGAAGGGGTCATATGTACACCGCATATATATTCTAAATCAGGCGTCAGACAAGAATAAAAGGTCTTGGTTTGATTTTAAAATAGGCATCATGATGTTTGCTATATTCAAAGAATTATACACTTTCGAGTGCTATTTATCTTTACTTAATTTAAAAGAAAGAAACACAATGATGTGTTTTAGAAGTTACCACACATTAGAAATAGGGAAAAGGGTGACACCAAAACACCTCTAGAAATGAGAACATGTAAATATTGTACCCAAGAAAAGAAATGTATTTAGCTAATGAGTACAACTGAAGACAACGCGGTTAGACAGATTGGAGAATATTTATACAACATTTTATTTGAAGAGAGTATGTTGACATCTGACTAATTGTTTATTATTCATTTTAAACTACCGGTACCCATTATTTCATATCTTAACAATTTACAGTGACAAAATTGTTAATTCTAAAGATGTAATAAAACATTATTATTATGTGTATAGCTGATCTCGTGACTGAATATCACCATTCACATCCACGGTTGACTCTACACATATGTGTATAGCTGATCTTGTGACTGAATATCACTGTTAACATCCATGGTTGACTCTACACATATGTGTAGAGCTGATCTAGAGACTGAATATCACCATTCACATCCATGGCTGACTCTACACATATGTGTATAGCTGATCTAGAGACTGAATATCACCATTCACATCCATGGCTGACTCTACACATATGTGTATAGCTGATCTAGAGACTGAATATCACTGTTCACATCCATCGCTGACTCTACACATATGTGTATAGCTGATCTAGAGACTGAATATCACTGTTCACCTCCATGGTTGACTCTACACATATGTGTATAGCTGATCTAGAGACTGAATATCACTGTTCACATCCATGGTTGACTCTACATATATGTGTATAACTGATCTAGTGACTGAATATCACTGTTAACATCCATGGCTGACTCTACACATATGTGTATAGCTGACCTAGTGACTGAATATCACCATTCACATCCATGGTTGACTCTACACATATGTGTATAGCTGATCTAGAGACTGAATATCACTGTTAACATCCATGGCTGACTCTACACATATGTGTAGAGCTGACCTAGTGACTGAATATCACCATTCACATCCATGGCTGACTCTACACATATGTGTAGAGCTGACCTAGTGACTGAATATCACCATTCACATCCATGGTTGACTCTACACATATGTGTATAGCTGACCTAATGACTGAATATCACCATTCACATCCATGGTTGACTCTACACATATGTGTATAGCTGATCTAGAGACTGAATATCACTGTTCACATCCATGGTTGACTCTACACATATGTGTATAGCTGATCTAGAGACTGAATATCACTGTTCACATCCATGGTTGACTCTACATATATGTGTATAGCTGATCTAGTGACTGAATATCACTGTTAACATCCATGGCTGACTCTACACATATGTGTATAGCTGACCTAGTGACTGAATATCACCATTCACATCCATGGTTGACTCTACACATATGTGTATAGCTGATCTAGAGACTGAATATCACTGTTAACATCCATGGCTGACTCTACACATATGTGTAGAGCTGATCTAGAGACTGAATATCACTGTTCACATCCATGGCTGACTCTACACATATGTGTATAGCTGATCTAGAGACTGAATATCACTGTTCACATCCATTGCTCACTCAACACATATGTGTATAGCTGATCTAGAGACTGAATATCGCCATTCACATCCATGGTTGACTCTACACATATGTGTAGAGCTGACCTAGTGACTAAATATCACCATTCACATCCATGGTTAACTCTACACATATGTGTAGAGCTGACCTA